GAGTGAAATAACCAACTGGTAAACTTTCGTAGAAATTTTATAGATTTATCGCGGCATATCTTTGATAAAATATTAGGTTGTCCGAAAAGTTTCTTTCGTTTTATGAGGAAATAATAGACGCGCAACGTTTTTGGTTTTATATTATTTTGTCGAATTACGTACGATCCATTTTGTTCTGTCGAGATAAACATTTCACAGACTTGGTTTCACGTTTGTATGCATTGTTGTAAAAAATACGTTTGCGAAAGAAACACACTTTCCGGACAACCTAATATATGGATACATAAGAAAATTTTAACACAATGAAAATACTCAATGGCAATTTCTACGAATTCGTAGCGTTAAATCAAAGAAACACGAAAACATATGAAACAGAAAATAAGATAAAAAATATCGTAGTACAAAAATTTGTGCCATCGATATTGGTTATCGGTAACCAAAATAAAATTTTGGTCATCGATAATGGTTATTGGTAACCACGAAAAATTCCGATCATTTATATTGGTTACTGGTAACCGACAATGGTTATTCGTAACAAGAACAAATAAAAATTCATATTTTTCAATCGTTTTGTTTTTTGAGAAGTTTCTTTGAAATTTACTGGTAACTGACTTCCATGTAAATAACAATGAAATTTTTACTCGCTGACTTTTTTCTAGAAAAATTGTTGAATACTTGACTATTAGCTCGGATCTCTGAGTATTAAATAAAAATAACTCGAAATTGGAATTCGATAATTTTCCCTGAAGGTAGAAAACTTTTTATCTGACTTGGGTATGACGATAATGGAAACATCAGATAATACAATCTTTCAGATTTATAGCGTTACACCAATATCTGTTTCTAAGATCAAGTTCTTAAAATTCGAAGATTCGTTTGTCTGATTCGACACGGCACCATCTACTTACGCTTTTACTTCCCGGCCAAGACGCGTCTATACAAACGATTCTGATGCTCTGGCATTACATACGGATCGTAAATAAACTAGAAAAGGTATCCCAACAAGCTGGGGATCTTAGAATTATGGAAAATAAAAATTTTGGTACCACGACCCTCGTGATATATCACTTGCTATGACTCCTACGGTTTTCCCCAATTCTTAAAGTATATACATCCCATGCATCGAGTACCACATATTTCTATACTACCCTTCCTTTCTATCCTCAAAAGAAATACTCTTGAATGTGCTCCACGTCGCACCATTCTGCCGTGAAGTTCCATTCATCCACCGTTTTTACTATCAACACTATCCATTATTATTTTCATTTTTGTTTTATTTATCCAGACCTTGTTCGTCCTTTCGATTGATTTATTCGCATCTTCGATTTATTTATCCCGGACAAGAGAATAAAATTCACAGTCAACTTCAAACAGACTGCATAGGAAAACGTATTTACACCATTCACGACACACGAAACTCGATACGTCTGCAAGATACAGAGATTTGTTTGACTTGAATAAAAGACTACAATTTAAAGAAAACTTGAGACGGACCGAGAAGAAAATAAATATGTCATCCACTGTGCTATACGTAGTGGAAAACGTATTAAATAAAATAAATATAATATAAAATGAACAAACTATGAAATACAACGTAATATAAAATAGGATAAATAATATACGAAATACAAAGTAATATAAGACAAAATAAATATAAATAAAATAAACATACAGAGAACGGTAACAGATACGTACTCTCTTCTTCGGACAAATCCTCGCCGAGGCACTGCAGCACTGCTCTCAGGTCGGAGGCGGTGATGTATCCTCGATTGTGTTTGTCGAACACCTGCAAGCAAACAACGAATCGCTACAGAAAACTTCTACACCGTATGCCATCGGTTAGATCATTCGGGTTTGAATCATCCGGGCGAGATAGATTCTTTTATTTCGAGGTAAATGGAATATCCGCGCAAAGAAAATGGCAGACGGCACTTTTCTCTCTCCGAACCTAACGGGAGGGTGGCTCTTTTCGAGGGCGTCGATAATCGCGCGGACGATGAGGCTCGCGAGTAAATGCCGACGCGGGAATAATAACGAGGCGCACGTCTCTATTATTTGTCAGGCCGTGCCGCTGTCGCAGACGCAATCACGAAACCATCGCACTTTTGTGGAAGTAGAATTGGGATTGATGCAGCTCCTGGGAACGTTCTCTGTGCGACGACCTTCGACTCGTTCGTCTAGCTCCCGGTGCAAACGTCCTTCTCCGACGCTTGCTTCGTTACCAGCAAATTAATGGGTTTGCATTTTCCATGGAAAGAGAAACCAGGCCACGTTTCTAAGGAGTCACGTGCGCAGCCACAGCGTCGTGCAACGATGTCCATTCGCGACCAACGTCGTCGAGATTTCTACTGAATTGTCAAGCAAACAAGTAAAGTTCATCGACCGAGGATAACGAGGGGGTGGAAAGGGGAGTAAACAGGATCGAAAAACGGTTATTTTCGCTGATCTTAATGGTCGATTTTCGGTACCGTGGGAATACAGTTGCTCGCGAAAGTATTTGAACACTGGTAAACATCTTTTCCCATATATCGTGTTATATGAAATATATATGATATATCCGTTATATGAAATCTTTTGAAAGTTGGTCAAATCCGATTAGTATCTCGCGACCGCATTAATCAAGTTTCAAACAAATTAAAAGATATTTATATTAATAAGTCTCCGTATTCAGTGGGATTATCTTTAATATTTTTTATACCTCAGATGGCTATTCATGCTGTGTACCGTATACCATTCCTTTTTACAAGATATATGTTTGCAATAAATATCTTGCAACATTAATTAATCGATAGAAGCATGGCAGCCGCGTCTTGTTACAGGGTTAACGACATTTCAAAATGTTTGTTATGAAACACGCAATACACACACAGAAATTTTCTATGATAATTGTCCGAACACTTTCCTGAGCCATCGGTCGGTGTTTTGCGATTATGGGGAATATTTGTTACGGTAGGAAGAATAATTGAATTAGAGAGCTGATCGCTATTCGGTTATAATACAAATATTGTAATGCAAATGGTATTACACGAATATCTCAATTCGTCTGGCGGTTCGACATTCGATCTGCGTTTCTGTTTTTATTGGCTAACGAAATTGCACAGCCACGTTTATTCATCGGATATTTTGAAATCGTCCAGATCCACATAATCACGTTGATCCCGTATTTTTGAACACGTTTCTAGTTAGTTCAAATAAAGAGAAATCGATATTCGCTCTGACTATTTACGATATAAAGAAAACATCGCTCCAATGTTGAACGATTTTTGTTGAAAATATTACATCGCGATAAATGGAATAATAAATGTGTTTCGTAATGTTCAGAACCATTATACTATCCGAAGTTTAATTTTCCATGATGCCGTTAGTGGAAAGTGAACAAGCTCGGAACGCTACCTGTTTCTTAAACGAAGATAGGCAAATTGATAGAGAGGAAAGTTGGGTTGCTTAACGAGAATCGTCTCCTTACGATACCGCGCTTCGCTAGCGCGCAATATGTAGTTGGTATTTATTTAAATGGAGCTACGCATCGATTCTGCTCGTTATTTCGCTTACAAGGTAACGCCTTCGTTGCAAGTCGGAAACCTACTTTCCAACAGCGTACAAAACAATTTATGGAAGATTATTTATGGAATAATGTGCCTTAGCTTTATTCAGCAAAGAGATAGAACACTCGAGTAACTAAATAGTCGTTTTCGCCCCCTTAACTTTCCACCATCTGATCAAGTTTACGCACAATGGCGCCAAAAGTTTCTTCCCTCGGCAATTACGCAATGCGTTCCAATTTGCGAAGTCCTTCTTAGACGAGGTAGGGATAAGGGCTCGCCTGAACACCCTTCCATTCTTTCCCTTTCCGCAGCATCTTGAGGTCAAAGGTAACAACGTCGGGTAGATAGTCGGTGATTGCGAATCGACCAGTTTCCAGGTGGCGGAACTCGCCGAGTCTCCCATTACAGCTTAACGATTACACACACTTTTCTGTTTCTCCGTTGACTGGAAATCGTTGGACTGGCTCCGTTTCCGATCACAGGGGAATATTGTTCTCCATTGTGCAAGGAAATGGGAAAGGGCAAAGAAAAAAAGTTTCACGCAAGATGCCGCGTCTGGAATCGCGACGACGCGCTTCGACGTGACATTCTCACATTCATCGACGTAGGAAATCGTAATCAAGCAGTCATTACGGCAATTACCAAATCGTTAGCTCTCTAACTATTCCATTATTTGCTCGCACGAGTGGTTGGTCGTGTGGTCGTCGAGCCAACAAATATAACACGTTGTAATCAACACTATCGTTATTTGCATACTCGAGAACCGAGCGTGTCTCATGACGATTCCATCGCACGATGAGTGCAATTTTTGCGCAATAGTTTCATCAGTGAGTGATTGGCGAACGGATCGTCGATCGACCTATCGAACGAGTCTCAGTGGAGAATCGAATTCGAAGCATTTGGATCGGAACGATCGATCTGATTGATTAATCCACGGTTGTTCATGATCGACTTTTTTCTGAGACGCCTCGATCAGCCGCGAAATTGGATATTTCAGCAACTAAGCGAAAGGAAGAGATTGTGTTTCGGAAAATGGAAAAGTAGACATTGGTTTTCAATGCCTGGAATACACTGGAATCGTGGCAATAGACGTGTAAACTGTGCGTAATTAATCAATCGCCGATTAAGTCTGCGTTGCAAAGGTTAAGGACGATTAATCGCATACACGCTGTGACGCGCGTATCGCGTATTCTACGTCGACCCTCTTGAAACAATGTCACGGCTGAACGAGGCAGACTAACGAGGAAAAAATCTGTCGCTGATCGGGGCCGTTGCCAATTAGTTCTCTTTACAATTCACGATAATAAACTGGAATATTAAACAAATCGCAGAGAAACTAAACAGAGAAAACGAGAAAAAGAAATAACGCGACAAAAGAAACTGTGTCATATATATGCTAATGCAGAAGACGAAGATTAAAATAGCCGATTTTTCGTATCCAATTCACCCTATGATCTCTGATCTAAGATCGCCTTATGCTGTTCTCTCATGCATACGCTCGTTTGTCTCGCGCAAACGTGTACCAGCGACAGAATAAATCAAGCCAGGCTCTTGCCAGACTACGAGTGAGATAACCAAATAAGTTCGTGAGCTTTATCGCGAATCCCGGACAAATCGTTGAAATTTGGCACGACCGGAGGCAGGTACGAGAGAAAATCGAAAAAAGGATTATAGAAGGGAATGGCAGTCGCTACTGCGATAAGATGATAATCGCGAGACGTTAGGACGTTGGGACGTGACGAACGTAATCGAGGCTGTAAGAGCATAAAGAATTTCCCAAGTGTCGGGCCATTCGCATCCGGAATATTAAGATTCGCTCCAATTCCTCGCACCCTTCGATTCCTTTCGTGATAACCAATTAGCCCATTGTTTCATCCTCTTCTTTCAAAGCATACACTTTGTGATATTAAAAGTGGCTCGCTTAAAAGGGCGTATCTTTTCTATTAGCTGGGCGCGTACCTTTTCTATTTGCCTCGCGTAAATCCAATGAAAAGCCACTTTTGTCGATTAAGGAGCGATTACACTGTTAGTAAGGCGAGAAGATAACGTTTCTGGTTTTCTGCCGTGGTCGAAGAAACACCGTTGACTCACGATGGATGTTCGTTTTTGACGATGTTACAGTAGTCCTTTGCTGGTTTAAATTAACTTAAATTGGACTCTCTGTAGCTTTCAACTGACTCAAAGGGCGAGCTACGTACAATATTTGCATGCCAATACTCCTGGCACACGATCTGGATTTTTGACCCGTGACTCTCTTCTGTTCGTCGTAGATCTCTCCGGTTCACAGATTATTCCATTTTTCTTCCTATCGATGCGTGTTCCTTACAGACAATAAATTGTTTGTTCGGTGCAGCGATCTGCATACTCAACGACCTCTCAGATTTTGAACCTTGTTGCTTTTCGATTCGTTTGGATATTCTTCTCTGCAATTCGTTTATTCGTAGAAGCCACGCAAAAATTCTACTTGACATCGTAGAATTACAGATAATTAATTTGAACGTATCAAATTGTTTTACAAATTCGATATCGTTAACTGATAAAACTCATACCTCCCACGTGTAAATACCAATACATTTCCATTTTGAAATTTAATTTGTTCACGGTTGAATAACATCGATCGCGCAATGAATAACATACTCCATTAATTATATACGTTAAAACGATTCATATTTCACTACGCGAATTGACTCCCGGAACCGCGCAAAATACGGTTTGTATTTAACAAACAAAAGAAGAGGAAGAAGACCAACATTTCAGAATGCAGATCATGGAATATGGCGTTTGGCAAGAGATCGCCGTCGCGTTTTTTTTTCTCTCTCGATATTTTTGTCCTTGTTAGCTTTTCTCTAATGTTCACCCTTTCGCCTCTTTTCCCTTCCTCGACGAACGTAATAAATCTTACTGGTCATTCGCTATACTCTCGATCGTTTTATCCCGTTCTTTCGAAGCTGTTTCTCGCTTTCATCCGCGCTTTTCACTTTTTTCTCTCGTGTTTTCCGGCTCTTTTTCCTTTCTTTCTCTTCCTCCCTTCCCTTTTTTTTTTATTCGCCGGTGCCTGGCTACAATCCGGCTGCCGGCGCGCTCGCCAGGCCACGGAGATTAAAATATCGACTCGGGACACTGCGATACGTCGCGTCTGACCCCAATGCCGGCTCGCTAAACTCTTTAAGCGCGCGTTAGGCGATTTAAAGCGATCGAGGCGAAGCTTTCAACGCGAGTGACGGGTTGAATCGCTCTCTCACGCCGCCAAGCCAACGACTCCAAGCGCTTTCACACTGTCATCGTTTATTCTTCTACCATTGTTAATCGAATAATCAACGATAGGACGCGTGTAATGAAGCGTATTACGCACCTAGGGATTTCGATACGGTGTTTGTTCCTCGTCATTATTAACATTTAATCGTTGATTTTCCAAGGGATATTTGATGCGCGATAAAACGAAGTTAATTAATTCGTATCGAATAAAGGCGGCCCACGATATATGTATACTTCCCGCGATAAATATTCCGCCTCGCCTATTACGAAGCCAGATACTCAGCCTGACAACAAGCTTGATTTCCAGACAATATGATTGCCAACGAGACGATCGTCGATCATCGAATCTAAAACTAAATTAATTCCGCGTGGTAAAACGAGCAGGGAAAACGAGTACCGCGAGAAGTCATTAGCGCTCGATATTAAGCTGAAAATTCATTCGAATCAATTAAAAAATTTCGATAACTTTTACGATCGCGTAGGTCGAAGAGCTGGAAGAAAAGTCCGCGCGTTAGTCTCCTCGTGGAGATAATTGCTTGAAAACGAGGCGAAAATTATTTTTTTAAATTTCAAGCGGCCGCGATCGTGAGTGGATACGAGAAGCTAAATGGAGCGGTAAAAGTGACCAGCGTCGGCCGATAGCGTGCGTCCGCGCGTAAGCACGTAATGGCTTCGAGAATGGAACGAGGAGAAGGAAGAGGAACGGGTCGTTAATAGCAAGACTGAGTGTAGGCCGCACGCAACGGCGAACAGGTCGTTCTCTGGATACCGCAAATTGCTTTGTTATATCTATGTACGTATGTATGTATGTATACATATATGTCTGTTCATAAGTATTAAGACGTTTATAAAAGGTTAAATTGTGTAATAAAATGAACGATTACTAGGGAATTATTAAAGTCTTTAACAAATCTCATTTGAAATCCTACGCTTTAAAGAACTCATGCACTCAATATTATAATAACACCAGTTACGTACAATTCGATTAAATTCCTTTTTTACCTATCTTTGTCGTGTCTTTCTTTAAGGGTTTCAGCCAATCTCGGCATTCGTGTCTATCGAGATATGTATAATTTTATGTGCTAGACTAGATTGACCGTGTAGTAGTGATTCATGTATGTGAATACGAGTGTATGGAAGTATGCGTGTGCGCGGCGCCTCGAAAACAAAGGAATGCAAACTGTTCAGTTAACAGTGTGGTATGGAAGAAGGTGAGACGCGTGCAAGTGAGTATCGATGAATATCTTTGAAATCGTTTATCAAATAAATGTATAACTATTGTAATATAAATTCTAAGTGTAAATTTAGTGCTCCTATACCATTATTTCGGCAATTAAGATCCAAAATTCTCAACAGTATCACTGGTCTTCTTACCGTATTTGTCGCTTTTTGATCCGACGAATTCCGTAAATGATTTTACATATTTGGTTTCCTGATAGACTAGATCAATTATTGCGTTCTTTACGAGACCAGTTGATGTCCTGTTGTGTATTTACGAACGGGAATTTATACGTGTGATACCGCAATGAAAACCATAACTTGGTTAAATGTACTGATATTCAACATCGAATAACGAATGAAATAATACTCGAGTTTTATCTGGCTGTGACAAATTGACCCCTGACCAGGGATGGTAATACGAGCCTCGTTAACGGACGAAAAAAGACGAATATTCCATGGAAATGGTATCGTATTCGAATTAATATGCAACGATTTCTTGGATAAACGGAAGAACAGAGGATGATTAAATTGATATCGCGGTGGTGATTTTTCTTACCGGATTCCAGCTTGAATATATGCATGAAGGATCATAGGGAGGACGACGAGACGAAGATTTTTTCCCTGATAATCGAGAAACGCTCGAGGAAATAGTATAAACGCAGCCGGCCAAGACGAAAAGGAAGGGAGAAAAAGGGAACGAGTGGAAACGGTTGGTTGGTGGAGAAAGAGAAGAAAGGGAAGACCAGGCAACAAAGGCCGCGGAATGGCTAGGAAAGTGTATGTAGACGGCAGGGCGGAAAGAAGAATGGTGCACGAAAACGACGGCAGGATGAATGTCCTTGTGGTCGAGCTGCGATGGTACAGTCATTAGAATGTATTGTGGCTCAACGGTTTGACACGCTCCCTTTTGCGACGCGCCGCTCCACATACCTCCGGTTCTCGTTCTCCAGAAAGTTTATCTCCGCCAAGGCCTTTTCACTTTTACGTATTGGCAGATGCACAGAATTGCGCTCCTCCTGCATATAAACCGGTCATTCTAATATACTAAATAATAGGTAGTAGAGCGCTATACTTTTTTTGATCTTTTGTGGACCGTGGTTCGGTCAGCTCTGCTGTAGAGTGGTGAGAATGCGTAGATAGTAAAGGCACTCGTGGATAGCAGAGACAGACTATCAGACTATTTTCTAAATTTGATAGCTATTATAAGTTATTATAATCTTGGGTTATAATATAGCGGAATCGTAGAATTAATGGAGGGTAAAATTAGTTGCTTAACAATGAAGTACGGTTGTCAGATAAGTTTCTTTCGTTTTATAAGAAAATATCAGACGCACAATGTCGTTTGTTTTATGTTAGTTTATTGAGTTATGCACGAACATAATAATAGAAATAAAATGAAATAGATCATATTTAATTTAATAAAATAATATAAAACAGAAATTGTTGTGCATCTATTATCAGCTTATGAAACGAAAAAAACTTTTCGGACAACCTAATCCTTGGTGTTTCACGTCGAATGATCGTACTTCGATTGATAAAAACAAGATGCTAATATTCTAAATAATCTGTACGTAATTTAGATAATGTTAGATAAATAATGTACAAATAATAATGAAAGCTTCATATCAATATCTTTCCAATGAGAATAAGTTTTCAATGTGGAGTCAATGTAATTTACATTTTATACGATTTATATTTATATTTGTATTGACATTTTCTTTTCGTTTTTTAATATTTGGGACAGTAATCAATATTTACTGGTTTTCTGCATGTGAATATAACACATTAGTCGTAGGTCGCATTATTCTTTTTATACACAACAGATAAAACAAAATGTAGTGGTCTCGAGTGTATCCGAAGCTTAAAATATTAGTAGCCGCTACTACTTCTCAGTTTAATTTACGACTTCGCTATATCTCGACACGCAATACACAACTGCGATTGATTTATTTGAACAACAGTTGCCGGAATCGCAAATGATTCATTTGTCTCTGTCCGTCGAATATCAACAAATTGGGAACACTTTCTTGAGCAAAGGCGTACGAGAAACGGAGGACCTCTATTTCTGTTGCGACGTTGCATAGTTATATCGACGTTGTTTACATTACATTTTGGCAGTGCAATCAAGGAAATGGTAACTAACATGGGTTTGTTAAATTTGTTAGTCAAAGTTAACTAAGCACAGTTAATTCGTCCGATACTTGATGACACAATCTCCCGTTGTATTATGGCGAATCAATTCGTGACGATCTTTACTTTTAACCTGGTAGCCAACTAAAACCTTCTACAATCATGGAGTTAAGAGTTAATAAAGACAATTTGTTATATACTTGCAAATACATATAAACACAGCATCGTTTATTTGTAAGACAAATAAAACGTAAAAAATAAGGATCTCTGAATAACAGAATTATTATATCTCCAAGAGAGTGCTGATCCAAGTGACAATTTAACTTGTTCTTCCCGGTTAACAAGTTAGTGTTTGCGGAACAATCACAAGCAGACAAACTTCCGACAACGTTGATTCGCATTACACGAGCTATGTCTTCGTACAACTCGTGTAAACGGAAAATAAAGGCGAGTCTGTGTCTAGTAAGAATCCAAAGCTCGCCGCAGCCGACCGATGAATTCCCAGGTATTTTCTCAACAATTTTTCTTTCCTTTTGTTTGCGCCGTTATATCCGAAGATTACAAGCGTTTGCGAATCCTCGTTACCTCAAATTGAGGAAAAAACGGCTGCTTTACTCCATTCTACACTTGTTTCCTCCATTTCACCGAATATACTGCCACAGGAGGTGACAATTTTCGTTTCCCATTTTTTCAACTAAAACGCTTGTAATCGCACTAAATTCTCGTTTACGAATTGCACGTTGCACGCGCTTCGCAAACGAGACAAATTGCACGAAATATATTTCGGAATTATGGCTGGAACGTGTTGGAACGATGGAAACGCGGAGACTCAGGAGATCTTGCCATCGGCAAGATGAACGACAAACGGCCTTTAAAGCCGCCATCATAAGACGAAGTTAGTTCGGCGGAACGCGTATTGAGGTGGCTAAGCTCGTTCAACTAACTAATATGTACGATAACTGCGCGTGGGTGGTACATTATCGCTGCGCTGGAAATGAGGACGAATAGGTACGATCACGTGTCGAAAGTACGTTATCGACTTCTGGAACTCGAGCACATACGAGTCACACCAGGTGAAAAAAAAAAGGAGCGGAAAAGCGAACCGATCGACTCCTAGCTGCAGAAACGTATGTTCTAACGAATAGTCCGGGGAATCTATGTTTTCAAGGGAAACGCAATTCGTGATAAAAAGTTGTTTCAGTGGGATACGCTAGGATGTACTAATTGGATACTTATTCGTTGCAGTATCAGCTCATTCTAGCGTGCATCGAAGTGCATACGAACGTAATTCGTTCTAAACATTGTCTCTGTATCTAAATTAACATATATTATATTTTGTAGGTATGGAAAAATATTTCTGAATTCAGTATATACCGGTAAGTATTTCTAAATTGTTTCACAATTAAATATTTCTGATATCGAATTGTCAAGGAACAAATAAAAAGTTGATCAGTTGGTGATCAAATTGTAGGATATGGATAAATTTAAATAGATAAATTTAATTTCGTCGTACACATAATAAACATAGTACACATAGTAAAAGATAAGTGAATTAGATTAATAATCAAATAATGTTACGAACGATTAAAAAAAACAGCAGATTGACAATTTAATAATCGTCATAGTTGCCGGCAGAATTCTTTATAGAATGAAAAAAGCGGTAGGATGGATAATAGGATTTTTCAGCATTCGTTGTATTATTCCACCGCATACGTATGCATATAACCCATCGTATATTTTGTGAAATGTTGTAGAATTCGTTACGACGCGGCATCTCTTACGAAAATAAAAATCATAATTAACAAATGCGCCTGGTGCTATACTTCCCGCGCGACATTGTCACGTACTACACGCCTTGCGTCGTATAAAATCCACGCAACCCAAATTCCATTCAATGCAATTATCATACTTATTGTAGCCGTATAACCAATTGTATAATAAACTAACAATGTAAGTGCATACATTCTGAATGCACTTCATTGTATTTTCTATCCATAGAATCAAACAGAATTTGACAGTAATCACGTAGTACTGTCGATGACGAAATATACGAGACCCTATGTTTGCAAATTACTGTGTTTAACGATATTATTTCTCATTAGGAATCTAATTTAAATGGTTACTTAGTTCGCGTTGATTTCCATCTGGAAATCGCGTATCGACGATCGTCAAATCTATCGTACACTACATACGATCAAAAAGTTTATTTTCTCTTCGAAGAATTTGATCGAATTATCTACGATAGGTCGACGAAATCATGTACTTCCTCGATGGTATTTACATCGAAACTAACCAATTTGATACAAAACAATATAGACGTTTGCATTCCATAGAATAGTATTCGCTCTATGCAGTCACTTTGTTTTTGTTTTACGATCAAATTCACCGGGAATTCGACTCTACTCATTGAACGACCAGCCGTAAATTGTTCCACGAATTCAGCGATGTATACGCGATGGATTTAAACAATCCAAAAGAATCGAACGAAAAAAATGGTCACGAGATTGAATCGTATTACGCCGAAAGGACTAATGGACGTTCCCTTTGTACTACACGAAAGACCAGTGGTTCGCCGCGGCTTTCGTTGCAGTACTTTTTCGAAGCTTGAAAGCTACCTTTTAGCTAACCATCGGACGAAAGATTCTTGGTAACTGGAGTAGCTGGCATTTTCTTCCAGTTACGCTTTCTTCGATTAGATTACTTTTCACGAACAAGGAACACCGTGTACTTTCTCTTCCGTGTTTATTTCTCCCGGTATGACGAATCGTTCGGCGCTTTAATTATTCATCGACACATCCGTCGAAGGTTTATTTGTGGCCTCGATATTGAAAGCGAATCTTAATACGGAAATCGATCGAGGGCGGTTCCATTAGCGCCATCCTCGGCGCGTTTCGCTTTCCAAAGGTGACGATAATTCCTCCTCCTCGACTTTATCAATTTCCCCGTTGAAAACTGACAAACCTGTTACACCCTGGTCAGCAGAAAACTTCTATTCGATTCAGTTAGCCTCAAAACGGATCATCTTTTCATACCTACGTTTAATCACCGTTTGATTGCGCGAGATTTTCAGTTAAAAAACGCCTACGATTTTTCGCTGAGTACTCGTTGAATTTCGCGTACATACGTAAATGAAAGTAGGTCGTTACACCACGCGGCATTCTTACTCATTGTCGCTCAAGATAAGCTCAGACCCGTTCCGAGAGGGCATTAAGCGTGCAACTGGAAAACTTGTGAAATCTCGCGTCTCAGATCCGCTAGATTACCGGAACGAAATTTCTCTCTCGTTCTCGGCTGCGAAACGAAATGAAAAGCGACAGCTGCACGAGAAAATCTTTATGTCGTATTTCGATTATTGTTATCTAATTTTCTCCGAGTAGAATAGGCTCGCGAAGATGCTGCTCTTTGCCAGTAGAACTACATTTATTTCAAATGTATATATTGGAATGACATATTAATTACTACTCGATTAACGCTTTCAACGCTAAGATGTTTCGTCGACGCGCGTTTATCGTACGCTGTTTACTTATTACGATGAAGCATGCGCTACGCTGCCGAAATTATTTGACAGTCAAAGTGCGAAAAACATGAAATTTTATGAATTCATCGCTTATAGCATATGTTATAGACATATGAATGGCAAATTATAGATTTTAGGCTTGAAATATATCTTTAGGCTTGAACACGACAAGTGATACATACCGTAAATCGAAGATTTATTTTGAAGCAACACAGCTTCAGGCACTAAAAATTATTTCGAATCGTTTTTCGAAATTCTTATATAAATTCATAGCGTCGAATTGATTAAGTAAACTTGCGCCGATTAAAATTACATTTCCGAAAATGGATTTCTATTATATGAACGAAATATCATAGATGGGGAAGCTCGGAAAACTTCTACTATATAAACTCAAGTTTTATTGCAGTTTATCCTTTGATGAATTTATATCAAGTTTAGATAAACGGAGCTCTGCAGTATAAAAGAAAAAGTAGGCACGTGAAAGTAGTAGCGGCTGTCTACAGCAAGAATACAATGTTTGTGTAACAAATTGATAACAACTAGATAGAATGAAGTTTTGTGGACTGTAGAATCGATACACGGAAACTTGTTGCTTTTGCAATTCTAACGATCAACAATGCCTCGACAAACTTG